GCACTACAAGATGCAGTTAGCCTTCCTAGCCGCCTCCCCACATTGCCGACTCAAGTCAATCGTTGTGGTGCCTTGTGACCAGTGGGGTCCCCCAGGGCTCTGTCCTTGGGCCTTATACTATTTTAACATTTTCATTAATGATGTGGACATTGGTATCATAAGTTCAATGAACCAATGTCCACATCATTAATGAAAATGTTAAAATAGTATTAGGCCCAAGGACAGAGCCCTGGGGGACCCCACTGGTCACAGGGCACCACAACGATTGACTTCCATCAACCACCACCCTCTGGGTCGTACCACGGAGCCAATTCCCCAGCCAGCGGATCATGGTGTGGCCAAGGCCACAGTTTATCCAGTTTTAATTGAATACTTAATGAAATACAAAATAAAAATTATTAAACACCACAAAATAAAAAGTACTTTGTACAAGGTTAATGTAGCCTTTTATACAGAAACTGCATTGTCTCTATTTGCACCTAGCTTAATTTTTACCTGTGATCCAGATAGGAGGTTCTACTTTATAATGGCCACTCCAGGGTTCTTGGGCAGTCATTAATCCATTTCGACCAAAAGGCAATTTTTCATAATAACTGGACACCAAATTCCAAGCAATGGTGCTGAAAAATAGATTTTTTTTTCAAGTCCAAAACAGATTTTATGCAATGAATTTAAAAACAGAGCACATATCTGAGAACTTCAGATGAAGAAGTTACAGACACTAGGAAGGGAACACGAGCAAGATTAACTCTGATCCAGGAAGTGAGTGGGGTACACAGTATCTTAAATAAAAGTGATGCACAAGGTAAGATATGCTGAAATTACAAAAGTGACTGCACACGCAACACTTACGCAGACATGTTCCCGTTCACATAGTTTTGGTTCATGACCCGAGCCCAGCAGCCTGCACCCACTTCATCATTGAAAGTGCTGTAGTCTTCTGAAGACCACAGTTTCTTCTTAGTCAACAAGGCTGCATCCACTGTTTTTGTACCAGGGTAATGAGCCCTGGATAACATTTGTGGAAAAATGAGACAACATTTAAACACATGGAAAGCATGAACCGCACCCAAACTGCCCAAAGTCTGATGCCAAAACAATTCTATTCCAGGGAATCACCAAAACTAAAGCAACAAGGGACCTCTGGCAATAAATGATTTGGCAATATCTAGCCATCTGCAGCAATATAAGACTGTTCCTAATGACTAGTTGCAGACATGGAGAAAAAAAAAAAAAAAGAAAGAGGAAATGGCATTTTAAACTCTGCATGCCCAGAGGCATTGTGTTAGTTGGAACCAGTATGTCCAACGTCTGTATAGATCAGGCACTTGAGTGGGGCTTTTTGGTGCTTTTACCCAATAGCTGAATCAGCTGTAGATAGAAGTGCCAAAAAGCCCCACTGAAGCGCTCAATCCATACAGGCGCTGTAGAGCCAGGGTGAACTAATGTACTGCTTCTTCTGGTAAAGCATGTTTTTTCCCCACCATGTGTGTCAGGAGCCTAATATATTTTGTCTAGTTTTAAACTCTCACACCTACCCAGGAAAGTTTTCTCCTAGTCCATAGCCTAAATAACTTCTTTTTATCCTCAAATTATTCTATGTTCCACCCTAAATAAATCTGAGTGCTCATGACTTTCATACAATTAGACTGTAAAAATCTGCACTGGGCATCTTCAAAGTCCCACATAGCATGATTTTTTCTTCCCATTTAGGCTTTCCATTTTTCATAAACCGGTTCCATGAACTTTCAAAAAAGTTTGCAACTTAAAGCCACAATAAAAAGCATCAAGTCTGACACAGGTGCAACAGGCAGAGGCTATAGAAAAATTATGTGCTGGAAGCCTATAATTCTTTGTGAGTTCTTCCTTTATTCCTAATGCAGATATCCTCTTTCAAAAGGACCTGATCACAAACACATGGTGCTTTGGTTATCACTGACTCACTCTCATAAGTCAATCTTATAAAGTAAATCATTATCAAAAGGGTATTATCTCAGAAAATAAAGGATTTCTTCTTCCAGCTGAGATAAGAGTAATAGTTTCATAGTAGCTAGAGTCAGGAGGGACCCGAACAGATCATCTAGCCCGCCCCCCTGCCACAGGCAGGAATGAATGCCGGGTTCACAAGACCCCAGATAGGTGATCATCCAACCTCCTCCTGAATTTGCCCAAGGTAGGGGCGAGGACCACTTCCCTGGGAAGTTGGTTCCAGATTCTTGCCACCCTAACTGTAAAATATTGCCTTCTGATCTCTAACCTAAACCTATTCTCCATCAGCTTATTACCATTGTTCCTCGTCACCCCACGTGGTGCTGGGGAGAAAAGGGCTTTACCTATTTGTTGATGATCTCCCCTGATGAGTTTGTAGGCAGCCACCAGGTCCCCCCTCAGCCTCCTCTTGCTGAGGCTGAACAGGTTCAGGTCCCTCAGTCTCTCCTCGTAGGGCCTGTCCTGCTGCCCTCTCACCAAGTAGGTGGCCCTCCTCTGAACCCTCTCCAGGTTGACCGCATCCCTTTTGAAGTGCAGCGCCCAGTACTGGACGCAGTACTCCAACTGCAGCCTGACCAGTGTCACATAGAGGGGAGTATCACCTTTCTGGACCAGCTTGAGATGCACTTTGGATGCATGACAAGGTATGGCTGGCTTTGCTGGCTGCGGTATGACATTGGCAGCTCATGTCATCTTGGAGTCAATAATGACGCCAAGATCCCTTTTTGCCTCTGTGCTTTCAAGAGGGGAACTCCCCAGCCCGTATGTATGCTGTGTATTCCTTCTCCCAAGGTGCAGCACCCTGCATTTGTCTACATTGAACCCCATCCTATTCTCGCCTGCCCACTTTTATAGTCTGTCTAAATCTATTTGCAGCCTCTCTCCCTTCAAGTGTGTCCACCTCACCCCACATTTTAGCATCATCAGCAAACTTGGACAGCCTGCTTTCCACCCCCTCGTCCAAGTCGCTGATGAAGATGTTAAACAGTGAGGGCCTGAGGACCGAGCCCTGGGGTATCCCACTGCTCACATCTCGCTAGTCTGAGTACAACCCATCCACCACTACTCTCTGGGTGTGCCCCATCAGCCAATTTTTTACCCATCCAACTGTGCAGGCATCAATGCCACAGTTGGTTAATTTATTGAGGAGGATGGGGGGAGAGACAGGTGTCAAAGGCCTTCTAATCAAAAACAGACTTTTAGTATCACCTTACTATTAACTTTGTTCCATTTACAGTTTATGTACTGTCAGATATCCATTTCTCTTGATTTCACTGGTCTGTGCTTCAATGAAACAGTTGCACCAGAAAATACAGATTTTTCTTCCCTCCCTGAGCTCTCATGCCGCTTGCAGACAGCTCAGAAAAAGTGAAATTAAAAAAAAACAAACAAACCCCACAACATGCTTTACCAGAAGTGGCATACTACTTCGACCTGGCTCTGCAGCATCTTATAGATAAGGTGCTTCAGCACAGCTTTTTGGCACTTTTAGCTAAAGCTGATTCAGTTAGATACTAGATAGAAGCACCAAAAAAGCCCCACTAGAGCACTTGGTCTATACAGATGTTGGGCAATCTGGGTCTAACATGCTGCCTCTTCTGGGCATGTGCTGGGCTCAGCACAGAAGCATGCCAAGTTTAAAGTAAAGTGCTAGGTTTTGTTTGTTGTTGTTTGTTTGTTTTTTAAATGTCTGCAAGCCGCCTCAGAGGTTACTGAATTAACAGTGATGATGATAAGCATATGATTTGCATTGTACTTGCTTCTCTTTAAGCATTCCTTATCCCTTGGATCTTAAGCTGTCTCTCTAAAATGTAAGTAACTCCACAAAGAGTAGAACATAGCTCAAGAGTTCAAGCCTCATTACTCCACAAGCTACTAGTTGGGTTTTTTCTTTTGCTTTGTTTTTTTATATAGTTCCAGTAATTACCTGGATTCACTCATATTCCTATTGCAGGGTTTAAAAGTGCATTTCTTAAAATTAGTACCAAACAAGGGTTCACTATTAGAGGAATCTGTGTCCAATTAGATTTATATGTGCCTTCAGTCTTAACTCAATCATTATTTAAAACTTAGGGGCATATTTGTTTGAGTTTCAGCCTTCTTTAACACCCTCTCCCAAAAAACCCACTTCTGTACCCTGGCAGCTTAAGCCACCTTGACCTGAAAACAAGATGCATGGTGTGAAAGGACAGGAGATGCATTATAGCAAGCAAAGAACAAGTTCTCTTCCCAGAAAAAAGCAAGCCCACATTTTTCAGCTTGTTGTACATTTAGCAGCCTCTCCTGTTGGGGTTTCCCTGACAGTCTTGGAGTTACCAGACTTTTGTTTACACAGGATGCATCCTCTGGCACACCTAGTAAAAGAAAGAGCGGGCAGAACACAGTACCCTGCAGCCATTTTCAGCTAGAACAGTTCCAGCCCCAGCCTTTTTGGGACCACTGCATCTGGTAGGGTTTAAGTGCTGCAGAGAGCATACACTGACCAATGCATCAGAAAAAAGCTATCAGCTCCTTGATGCCCTTCCACACCAGGAGATGGAAAGCAGCAGGGAATATGTTCCCCAGGCTGAAGTTATGGAGCTTTTTATAGCAAAATTCCTTCAATAGACTTCTAGACTTATTTTGGAGAAGAGAACTAGGGATATTTTATCTGGAAGAAGCAGTAAACTAGTGTCATGAATAGGCAATAGAGGTCAGCAGGTTTTAGGGAGAGACCAAGTAACAAGAAGTAGGTGGGAGTGCCATATCGGAGAACCCCTGGTATATTCAGAAACATTAGGTCAATGATTCAGAAAAGGAAGCCACTGCAGAGTCCCAATTAGATGTAGTGGAGACCAGTGATTAGAATAAATCGTCTTAGTATGTGGACTGGAAAGAATGAGGAGGGAAGTGAGAAGACACAGAGGTCACTATGTAGGATACAGGAAGAGAGAAAAGTTAGAAGAGCCACGTGGAACATCATCAGAAGAAACATGTTTGGAAGTGCCATGCAGGAACAATACTGAATAAATGCTCACAGCCATTTTATTAAATAAAAATAAAATAAAAGCAGTGGCTGCTTTTCATTGTCTATTCTACTGCCATTGCCAAAATTTTACTGCTACTTCCACTTTTCAAACTTTCAAGCAAGAGCTAGATATCAAATCCTGAATTTTAACTATACTAGACCTTTTGGTTCTATGTTCATATAGCACCAATAAATTAAGGTAGTTCAGTTCATCACTATCATTCCCATTTGCTATGGTAACAATACCAGTGTCCAACGCATCCATGCATTTTTATGGTATAGCATTTATTTAACATGAAGTGTATCGTATATAGTATGCTATGGAGCAGTACAACTTCCATATAAGAACAGTTCTTTGGGCCTGACAAAGATGGGTCCAAGATAGGTCAGAGACACTGACACAATGAAGGCAGTCATTGTTAGGAAACATTTCTCTACCCTGCTTGCCACAGTTATCATAAGAAAACTCTTAAATACCCTAGTTTACTTTTGAATTACTTGATCCACCCCTCATTTTTCACATGGAAGAAAAAGAGATTTTTTAGTTTCTCATCAAAAATAGAAAAAAGTGTCAGTTTAATTTTGTGAGGAATTAATTTTAATATTGACTGGGTCTATTATTAGGTGGACCCACAGAAGGGGATGATGATGAATTGCAGCTTTGCTTCTGGCCCTCGAGTCCCAAAATCAGCCAAAGAGGTATTAATATACGAGTTGGGTGGGTCCTTTTTCTGGCTGATTTTGTGACTCAAGGGTCAGAGGTTTGTGTTACAGAAGCAGAGGCACTAATGGAAGTTGAAGGACTTGAATAGGATGGAACAGAATTGCACTTAAGTGCCTAAGCCCACCTAAACACCCAATAGGTGCAACAAAACTATGGCCCTTACTGCAGCCTGGGCATTTAGCTAGTGAACCAGAGATAGAATTTACCACATTTGCATAAAATTTCTTCCCTGGAGTTACCTCACCATCAAGTCTCCATTTGCAAAAAAAATTTCTAGATTTCCTACTTCTCTCTCACAATTTAAGGGTTTTTTTGTCCTTCCCTAAAATTCAAGATGAGTTTGCTTAAGAGTTGTGTACAGAGATACAGAGGGAACTCATGCCTCTTCCTCCCACAGATGTACTTCAGCAGATATTCACCTGTCTCTGAACACTACATACAAATGCAGGCTTCAAACATGAATAAAGTATGCAAACTGGAAGATCCCAAGAAGCCAAGCTAAGATGAGACAGTTAAAAGCATCAGTAATTAGATAAGTATCAGATATTACAGGGCTATATTCAAAACTTCCAGTTTCAATTACTGCTTCTGTGAAAGCACACAAGCATCCAATTTAATCTAGTACTAAGAAAAACAAGTCAGGCAGTTTCATGGGCTTTTATCAGATTCTACCCAAATAAACTTCAGCTACTTAACAAAATTAGTACTGAGAATCAGCAAGTTGATTTAAAATCAGGCACCACTTTGCTGAATTATAACTAGCCACATGATTTAAATTCACTTCAAACACTAAAACAGTATTTGTCAGGGCAGACCTGTATGGAAACTATAAGTAGCAGAATGTCTGCAAGGCTAGAGCTGAAGTTCTTTTTGGACTGCTGGAGTAGGTGCACAAAACAGTCAAGGCAACCAAAGGAGTCCGACTTAGAGTCAAGGTAAGAGACTCTAAGGTTGAACACTTAACAGTAAGTTGCTGCTCTCCCAGAACAAACAATGAGTAGACTGACGTTCAGGCTCTCTCTCCCAGAGTAAAAAGAGCCACTCTAGGAGAAAAACCAGGGAATAACTAGGGTTACAAATCACTCCCAGGCAAGTCTCTCTTGGGAGAGCAAATGAATATGGCACTTCTGTCAGAAGAGAACAAAGTCCTTCAGCATCGCCTCCCCACTCCTCATGGAGACCATGTTGCTTGCAGGAAGCAGAACACATCCCCTTCAAAGGCCCCACTTTGTTCTGCAGGGAAACAGATTAACCATAGGCAGTCTGGGTCAGCCAGTAAGGGCTGCTCTATGCACTGCTGCCGTCAGTCACCAAGACGACTAAAGAAGTCTCCAGAGATGTGTGCACAGGGGCCTCCCCTGGCTGCACAGTGCCAGCACTGTGAGCTCTCCACTTATCAGGGCCTCAGCAGGCAAATGTCTGTACACATAACTCCAGGTAAGTTTTTTCAACCAGAACTCTCCCTGATTATTTGAAAATGTGTATAGAACCAGTGTATTTCACTGAAGCAGGCAATTATGTCCCTGTACCAAACTTTGCTAAAAAGTAAAAACTGACTTCAAAAGTCTGCATTAACCAAAAAAAAACCAACCCCCCCATTTAGTGTCAGAGCATTTAAGAAAGCCATTTCTCTCAGCAAACCACTCCTCCAAGATTTTATATGAAAAAAAAAAAAACAATAAAAGATCAGAGCTAGCCACCAAGAAAGCATCTTAGAGGAAAAAAAAAATGAAATGCCCTACCCTATAATATCGATCACTCTATGGAGCTCAGAGTCAAACAGCATGGCAATGGAAATTGGTTCCCACAGTCTATCGCTGGCTATGATCCTCACATGCTGTAGGTCATGTTTATCCAAGGTGTATCGTAACAGCTTTAAAAAGAAAGAAAGGAAAAAGTAGAAGGGGAAAAGGAAAAAGATTTTTTAAAATTATCAACATTACAAGTAAGAACAGGAAGCAATTTTTCTTGTGACTAACTGTACTTTAAAAACTCTTACATGTACCACAACATATCATATTCATATTCTCCCTCTTCCTGTTAAACCGAGATAAAGAACAAGAGTTATACCAAGAGTGTGATGTACTTAAACGATAATACCAACAAGAAAGTGTCGTAAGAGAAAGATGTTCTACCAATGCATCAAATCCTAAACTACTGGATACGAGAAAGGGAAAACAAAAAACATGGTTCTTGATCTCACACAGAGTCCACAAAGTTAATCAAAGACAAAGCACACTATACATCATGACATAACCTATTTGCAGATCAGCCATTTACAAAAAGTTAGTACTTTGAGCATTACAAGGCCAACATGCAGAAGGATAGACTAAAATCTGAATACACAGCCTTACTAAAAGTAGAGACTGTTCTTATTGTGCTAATCAGTTTGCTATTTCAGTTTTAAAAGTTCAAGAAAGAACAGTTCAAAATAGATGGCAAAAATTTCCAGTTTCCAATCTCAACTGTGCCGCTAACCTAGTCTGGTTTTGGACAAGCCATTTAATCACTCTTGCAGCTGGAAAGAGACAGGAAAAACAATACTTTCCCATCTCACGGGATGAAAGGTGATGATTAGCTGGACCTGATCTTCAGATTAGACATGAATTAGGAACATAACACTGAAAGGAATGATCTGGACCAGGAGCAGGCAACCTTTTCCAGTTGTGGGCTCGAATAAGAACCCACAAGTCAAAGGTAGAACAGGGAGAGCACCCATAGCCCATGCTTGTCCTTATTGCCAAATGCTGCCCAACCTCCACATCCACAAGTCTCAATCCAATGGTCCCAGGGCCAGATCCACCCCACAGGCCATAGATAGCCAAACCCAGACCTGGGCCATAAAGTCCAGTCCCCTGCATTCACAGGCAACCATTTACCCAAGGAACCCCCAGAATCACCACTTCAAACCCTTGTCTGCAGCTACAACACAATGCTAGAAACGTCAACAAGACTCTCAATTCCACATAATCAAAGCAAGTGCCAAACCAGAAGTTTCTGTCCAACCATACCATTTCTTGTACAGGCTTTTCCAATTCAGCCTAAAAGAGATTCAGGTTCTTTGCCCCTACCACTTTGCTTGGAACACTACTGCTGAACATTACTACCCTACCTGGGAATAGCTAGAGATCTTCTTCCAATCTAAATTTATTTGTAGCCAGAGTTTGTAATGATTTGATCTTGTGCCAACATTGCTTTCCCAACCTAAAAAAGCTCTTCTCCTTAATATTCATCCTATGAATATACTTCTAAATGGAGGAATCTCACCTCCTCTCAATATCAGGTTTGCTGAACAAAACAAGCTAAACCGCTTTAATCTTCTTTTATAAGGGGTCTCCATGCTCTTACCCTTACGTGACTTCTGTGTACCTCTTTTTCTTTTCAACTAGAAGCTCTCTTTACTTGATCATGGGTAAACCAGAAAAACCCAGTTCCAACTACATTACAAAATATACCCATTGAATGACTACAGTCAGACTATGTCATTATGAGTGCATAAAATTCAGGTTTTATGATAGAAAACTCCTTAAATAACCCCTTCCTCCTTACTGGCAACACACCATACTAATATTAATGGGTAACATGTATTAGATGAGGACAGATGACGATCTGGTTCCAACAGCCCAATTCTGTGACCATTTCCTTCAACAAGGCTTCAAGCTTTAATATTTTTGCCCAGAAACAAACTTCCTGGTTTTTCTTATTTTTAAAGACAATTTTTGTTTAAAAAAAAAAACTCAAAATTTGATAAGAGAAGCACCACATATTCACACTGCTTTAGAGAGACAGGTGTTCAACCTTCAGCCTGCAGCACCATGACATCTAGGCCATGGGACTCCCCGTGGATCCAAAAATGTGGTGACAGGAGTGCAGTGGCACCACTCCCCAGCCTGCCAAGTCTCCAGATCCATGGGGAGCCTCAGGCCCTACATACTAGATCTGGCACCCAATCCTGATGCAAAGGGCCAGTACCAGGAGCCAGAGCCCAAGCTCAGTGTCAAGGGGTGGGAGAGGGCAGTACCAGACCCCCCCCCCCCCCCCCCCCCCCAGCCAAAGCGAGGAAGGGGGGGGGCGCGGCCCCCGCACA